GATCCAAACTAGGCTCACTACCTGTGACCTTCCCAGCGATGCTGTCCACTTTGGTTTGAAAAATCCCCGTCCTTACCTTCCTCATTATGATTTCAGAGTCTGTTTAAATTCTCTTTCTTCTTACCACAGAAACATCTATAAAGATTATCAGATCACCTGGGCGTGAATTGTCGTGAATCAACTGTTGGACTTCCACCTCCGTAACACCCGCTGACCACTCTCTGCACACCCGGCCCAATGTTATCATAACCCTACACAGGTCAGACATTTCCTCTGGTACTCTGACTCACTCCTTTCCTCGCACAATTTTCTCCAGCATGCATACTTGTCTCATTGTGTCTTCTGCTTAAGCCATCTACGATTTCCCCCTTTTCAGCCTCTGACCCTTACCTGCAGCTGAAGCTTCATACAGAGGGGGTTCTACGGCTACTCTGATATGAATAAGCCTGCAGCACCTTCAGCATATCTGCAATAGTCAATGCAAGGATGTATCGCATGCACTCAGTCAGGGTGTACATCCCAGGATCACCCGGTTAGCTTCATTCTGTATGCGCTCCAGTTTCTCTAGTTGACTCTTCGAGACAGTGAGTAACCCCTATACATAATCAGTCACTGAGATGATTAAGTGCTGGTAAAGTTTTAACAGCATTCTCTGCTCCATGTCCATCGCTGCCATAACCTTTAGTGCATTCAAACTTTTTTAAGGCTTTGTTACAACCTCCTCTATGTGATCCCAGAACGACAAACTTCCGTCAAAAGTGATACCGAGGTACCACAGTATTTTGTCTCTTTTGATGTCCTCTCTAACAATCCTGTTGTCCAAAGAAAACAAATGAACGGTTGCCTTTTCTGAGTTTCATCTTATCTCTGTACACCAGTCAATCCCCTTATCTACTGTCGCCTGTAACTCGAGCTATGTGATCCCGACCTCTCCCCCTCCTATACACGAGAACATCATCTGTAAATGTCAATTTTTTGCCAACTGCAGGTGTTTCCTGGTACGCTATCTTGCTCGTAAAAACATAGAACAGCACAGATGAAACTGCAAATCCCAGTGGTAGTACTGGAGCTATAATACATGGTTCAGAGGTCCATGAACCCAGACGGAGAGCTACCCGGCGAGTATAAAAAAACGGCTGCTATCCATTTCATCAACCAAGGACAGACTACCATAAGCGCTTTCATCAAGATACTGTACCTGACTCTGTTGTAAGCATCTTGTAAATCAAGTGATGCAAAAGTGGCTGCATTTGGTCATGTGTCTGTCCCTGAACGGTAACTTCCCAAACCTTCTGGAAGGAGCTTTCTCTGTTCCAAAAATTATTGTAGCCTACCGGCCACTATCTTCTCCAACACTATACCAAAGGTGTTTTATAGGGTTATGATCCTAAAGCCACTGAGTGTTGAATGATTCTTGCCAGGCTTAGGAAGTGGAATCAGGTAGCTGTGCATCCACTCTTCTGGGAATATCTAGCCGCATCGGATCCGGGTACAGCGTCTTTCGCCATTTTCAGAACACGTTTTACATCTTCTACTTGTATGATGTATTCATAATGTTTATTCTTTAAGATTGCTGCCAGATCTTCTCTAACTGTATCTATGTTTTCTCCATGATTGTAGTCTGTCTGTGAAATGAATCGCTCCAGGAAAGCCTCCCCCATCTGTTTGTCTGTTGTTAACAGCATACAGTCATCTCTATGAATTGTTCCAACTATGCCGCTTATGTACATCCGCTTATGTAGCTTCCCGAACTTTCCCAATGTCTTATCGCCCCCAATCTCCTTTTAAAAAAATTGCCCATCTTGCTCTTTTAGCCTCAGCTGCACAACGCTTGAAAACCAATATCCTATTTTTCTTACCTCTTTCCGCGCACTCTAATTCTTCCTGTGTGCTCAGGGATGTTTGCCGCACTTTCTGTAACTCTATTTAACTTTCATGCCTGTTCTACCTCTGAGGTCCACTATTGAGGCTACACAAAAGTAGATTTGATATTCCTCTTCCATGCCCTCTGTTGGAGGCATCAAATAAGGGTGTTTGTCCACTCATACTTGAAAGACCTATGAGTTTTTGAAGCCTTGACTTTACTGGATTTGGAGACCAATACCGAACATGGCAGATGATTGTTTTTGTAATCTCCCAAAACAGTACACTTGGTACCCAGTACTGCTGACTGTAACAAACGCCAGGTCAGTATGCGTGTCTGCATCACCAAGCCTCACAGCCATTTTGGTTGGCCTCCAATCATTAATGCAGACAAAATTTGAGTGGGCCATGGCATCAGCAAGCGCAACTCACTGTCGATTTTCTCCAGTACAGTCCCATCCAATGTTGCGTGCATTGAAATCTCCACAAATGAGGAACCTGTTGCCAGAGATCTCCTCTAGGTCTTTCGACTAGTCCTACTGTTGCTTTGTGACTAATTAACCCACAACAGCAAATATATGTGCAATGTTGCAGCTTAGGCTACCAATCTCCATCCGTATTCCCTGCACCTCCACGGCATCATGATTCCACCGAATCAGGTCAAGCACCACATGTTTCAAGCCGTCCTTCACTAACAGACATTGCCCATGTCTCCCATGATGTCCAGCAGGGTTTACGTAGCTCACATATCCAGGGCAATGATATTTGTCTGCATTCAGCCCTTGAAGCATGATTACATCAAAATCGTATATCAACCTCTCTAGTATGAACCCTCTCTGTCTGACACTGCGACAGTTCCAAAACCTCACTTTTACATGGTTAAACCCCAGCCCTTATTTTTCGCTTAAATCTCCAGCTCCTGTCCTTCTATGTCTCTGCTTTCTTCTCTCGTCATTTTCTCGTTTCTCCCTCTTCACTCTCTTTTTGCTGCTTGCTAGTGTGTTTTCGGCTCCACGCTTGTCTCAACAAGCCGTGAAGCATAAGTAAGACCTTCGAACAACGCTTGTAAAGAACGTACGGAACACCATTTGGACCTGGAGCAGACTTGCCGCTGGCTAATTTCCCAATTTCCTCAACTTCAGACCAAATGGGAGGTATCGCTTTAAATGACACCTTCGGCAACTCAGGCTGCTTGAGGCCGCTAAGGTTCTCTGGATTGTTATCAAGAGGCTCATTCCTCATTTTTGTCAGAGTACATTTTGCGTAAATGTGACTCAAGCTCCTCTTTACTGACAGCCAGAGTCCCAGACTTCGGTTGCTTGAATAGACCTCGGGCAAACTGGAACGGGTCTCTAAAGAATTTCTCTCGCTCCCTTTTGGTTCTTCTCCTGTTGTGACAGAAACGCTCAGCGACAGAGGGCACTGTGTCTGTTCTTTAAATGCAACCAGACTTCATGCAGCCCCTCCCGTTCGCTGCCTGTAGCGGCTTTGAACCGTTTTCTGAGGGCATTCTTGACTGCCCGACACTTCAGAATGTCCCTTTGTCTCCTGCTCATATTCTGCTTGACGCCCGGCGGCGCCTTTTCCACTGTCCCGAACTCACGGGAACAGTGCTCGTATATTACATCACCAAACTTTGTAAGCTTGTCGCCTAACGACTTCTTTTTTAAATCATGAATTAGTATCTCACATAATGTACCTTCTAACTTGCACCACAACACCTTATCGCTCGCAGGTGGAAACCTGATCCTGGAGCGCACTTCCTCGGGAATCATCAAAATTGCGCCTCCGCAGTCAACGTTATGGGCCTCTATGGGCAAGTGGGTTTCACCCTGCCCGTCGTTCCCTAACGACTCAGAAACTACCACAGGAGTAGTAGTTTTGCGACGGCGTTTACTGCGTGGAGCACCCTCGCATTTCATCCTTCCGGCATGCGTTCTCAGACCATGCAACCCCCTGAAGCTCTTTCCACATGTCCAGAGCCATACTGGACGTTGGGCAGGAATCGGAGTCCGGGAGCTAGCATTGTCGTCACGGTTTGTATCAATTGATTGGGCCCATCATTCCCCCTCCCCCTCTTTCGAAGGGCCCTGGGGGCATTGTCAGACACCTTTTATAGGTGTGACACAAGTAGAATTGTTATTTGTGCCAGGTGTACCCACACTTCCATGAACATGTAAACGCTGATGACCTTGTTCCAGTTCTTAAACAATGTTTATTTAATAAACTCTTGATAATTGCAAAGTTAGTATGTTTATTTAAGAACTCATGATAATTGCGAAGTTAGTATGGCTTCCACTACTGAGCAGCCACAGATTGTATTCGTATGGTTCATAAGCACTCTAATCTCAGGTAGTCATTGGCTAAATACATCAACAATACGCTGGTATAGCTGATCACAAACTCATCCTCGCAATATGAACAAAGTCACGAGAGGCTAGCTGATGACTCTATAGCAATAATTCCGTATCCTCCTAACTACTACACTTAACTTTATAATCCAGCTTTGTACCACAGAAACACTTATCACCAGTATGAATAACCACTACTGTTCTGTTCACAGTTTTAAATCCAGTCCATTCCAAGCGAAAAACAATTCCCACCTTTTAAAAGGGCCCCAAACAAAACACATCCGTTCACTGGACTGTCCAACTACTAACTGCCGTGTGTCGCTCTACCTGTTTGTCCAGTCCCCGTGTAACCTCCCCACTCAGTTACCTGTTTCGCCCTGCGGGTCTACACACAAGCCGTCTGACCAGTAATTGACCTGTCTGCTGTTATGAGTCAGTCTAGTCGTTGTTTGTCTTTATCTCATAGTGTGTGGTAAAGTTGACTCATGACAGTTTCACCCCCGCTTTTTCAAAATGATACTATGTATCATTTCTGTTCATGGTTCGTTATTGTACCCTGTGTTATGTTCTTTTGGTGCTACCCGTGTGTAAATCTCTAGATAGATTGTCTGGTCACCTTGCATGTATCATGTCATTACCATTTTCTATCTATACTAGTATAAATTCTGGATTTATGAAGGTCCCAGCCAATTTATGATGCTAACCCATGCTATTCCTTGTACCGCATGCCATCATTTAGTTGAAGGTTGTGTTCTTAATCGCTCGTGTCTTTTTTTTTTTTGACGATTACCAGCGGTGATGAATAGTTGGAAAAGATGACCTCCTAATAATACCACATTTTTCCAATTCAGATATTTCAGCCTCTACTTGTTTTTGATAGTGCAGCGGGATGGGGTATGGTTTTGTCTTAACTGGTATTTCTGTTGTGAGTCTTATGTGATGTTTGATTACCGATGTGCTGCCTGGCGTATCTGAAAAGATGTCTTGGAACTGTTGAAGGATCTTCATTAGTAGTGCTCTATCCTCATGAGGAATTTCGCTGTTGACTTTAATATCTTTCCACGACGATTCGACTGTTGTTGAAGGTGTAGGAATTTGGTCAGTTATAGTGTCTTCCTGTTGCTCATTGATGGTTAAGGCTAAAGATGCAACATGCTCGTTTATATGCCTGGGGGGTTGTAGCTCATCTCGAATCTTAAATGGCTTTAGCATGTTAATGTGGAAGATTTTTGGCTTGCCTTTCACCAGTATCTCGTAATCCACATCCGAAATTTTTTTGGTTACCTTGTATGGACCTTGCCATGATACTGACAGTTTATCAGATGGAAGTGGTAATAGTAAAAGCACTTCTTCGTCTTCTTTTAAGGCAACTGTCTTAGCCTTTCTATTTGCATACTGTCTGTACACAGTACCCGAGGTTTCAAGGGCCTGTTTTGCAGCCATGCAGGACTTTATAATCCTCTCCCGTAAACTGATGACCATATTATAGGCATCTATGGTTGGCTGGTCTTCAACTTTCCCCGTAATTAGTTCTTTATAAATTTGCAATGGTCCACGGGGGTTGGCTCCATAGACCAACTCAAATGGGGAATGTCCTGTACTACTCTGCGGCACCTCTCTATAGGCGAACAGGATGGCTGGTAGAAATATGTCCCAGTCTGCGGGGCGTTCAGCTGAAATTTTTGCCAACATTCGTTTCAATGTACCATTTAAGTTTTCTACAATACCATTTGTCTGTGGGTGGTATGGACTCGCAAATTGCTGTTTAATACCCATCATTTTAGTGACTGCTTGTGTGGCAGCAGAGATAAATTGTGTTCCTCTGTCGGAAAGAATTGTTCTAGGGAAGCCGATTCTTGAGAAAATGTGTAAGAAGGCTTCTACAATAGCCTCAGCTGTAATATTTCGAAGCGGAATCGCTTCAGGCCATCTGGTACACAGATCTATTACTGTAAGGATATATCTGTTTCCCTTGTTTGAGGTAACATTTAATGGTCCGATTATGTCCACTGCAATTTTTTGAAATGGTCTAGATGCTAAGTCAGTCACCTGGATATGAGCCTTTGGGTTTTTCCCTTTCTGTGACTGTTTTTGACAAATCTCACAGGTACGAACAAATGTTTTTGTGTCCTTGCTGTACCCTGGCCAGTAGAACTGCCCTAGGATTCTTGATTTTGTTTTAGCCGTTCCCATATGACCAGAAAAAGGCGCATCATGTGCCATTTCTAGTACTTTTTTGCGAAACTGTTCCGGCAGCACCGTTTGTGATACTGTCATCGTTCCTTTTTTATACACCCTTGCCAAGATATCCTTTTTCAGTGTAAACCACCATCTACCAGACTTTGAAATTCTAGGCTTTTCATTTACGATGTTGAAAAATTTCTTTAATGTGGGGTCCATCCTCTGGAGTTCTGAAAATGAGGGTTGACCACCTGCTGGGGTTTCCATGTTAGGGATGCTGATGGATCGAATCAGATCTGTCTGTGCTTTATCTTCTTGTTTTTGCGTTTGCTGTCTTGTGACAGCATTTACATTAGGAAACTGTTCCTCCCAGTTTTTTATTGCTAACTCATCATCAGTATTTACATTTGGTACATTACCAATGAGTATTCCGGCACATGGCGCGGGCAGTACTGCTGCCTTTGTTATGCCAGTGTAAAAGGGGCAATTTATTTTTACAAGAGCTACCTTATATCTTTCCTTATTACCTCCATAAGTTCTGCACACAATGTGCTCTCCTGTGTAGTCTTTCTCTTGCACTAATGCTCTGTGTACACCAATTAGTGTCGCGCCTGTATCTCGAATTACTGTGCAAGGTATACTGTTAGCGAATCCCCTGAAGTAGCGCAAGGATCCACTGGTCATGTTAGCCGAGTGTGCTTCTTGAATCGGCACACTGTGTCCGCAAGTTAGATTCCCATCTTCATGGAATTCTTTGCATATCTTGCAGTTTTCGATCCCCAGTTCGGCAATCTCTTGGACTGAGTTGGCTATTAAGTCTTCTTCCGATTCACTGCTTGATGAGTTCAGGACCATATTAGCCTCTCTTATTATACTTCTTGCATGGCAGTCCCTGCGTATATGGCCAAATGCCCCACATTTAAAGCACTGTAGGTTTGTGGCATACCTTGTTACCTTAGATTGTTGTTTTTTGGACAAAATCTCGTAGATACTTCATGTAATTTGGGTTTTTATCACACATATCTAAGCTACCATGCTTGTGATTGCAGTGTGAACATGTTATTAGAGTTCCTCGTTTTGCTACTGGGTGTCGTGGTTTTCTCTGATATGTGCTATCGTTTTGATAGCTGTAGGGACTTCTCTCTTGAGAATATGTCGCAGCTGCCCCAAAAGCTAGATCGAGTTGAGAGCAGGTCGCAAAGACCTCCTTATGGGCGTAAAAGAATGCTTCTCCTTTTTTCTCCATGTCACCTACTGATGTGCATCTATTCTCTTGTAAGAACGTGGACATACCAGCAGGAATTGAGACTAAGAGTTTATCACGCACTAGCAAATCCTTCAATAAGTAGAAAGAGTCTTGGACTTTTGCCGCTTTCAGCCATCTATCTAGAGTACTCTGCACCTCTGCGACATAGTCCACAAACGTCTGGTTGCTTTTTGGTGCCAGAGTTTTGAAAAGTGTTCTGTACCCTTCCTCATCAAGACTAAAATGGGCTAGTACTCGATCTCTCACATACTCGTAGTCCATACGGAGTTCTTCCGGTATCGTTTCCACAATTTTAAGGGGTTCCAATGCTAGATGTCTGTGAAAGATTATGTGCCATTCGTCCTTAGGAACAGAGTAGTGTTTCATCATAATCTCAAAGTTAGAGATCCACGCGGAGACCGAATCACCCTTAGTGAAGTTTTGAACAATGCCCTGATTTCGTTTGATCTTGTTTTCAGAAGCCTTTATCTGTGCCTGTCGTAAACTACTTTCCGTCTCCTTTTCTAGGTCCATTTCCTTTACTCTAACCTGCATGGCCACTTCTTTTTCTTTTAATGATACTTCAGCCAGGAGTTTCTCCCTTTCAAACGCTATTTGGGCTAATTTTATTTCCTTTTCAGCAGCTAGTTCCACCATTTTTAACTCCTTCTCTGCTTCTCTGGTCTGCAGACGCTCTTCCCTCTGTTCACTCTTCCATTCGCGAAACTGATCCTCTGACCATCTCTGTAGCTCTTTGTCTGCCAATCCCATCTTCTGTCCTAAGGTAATTAATTCTTCTAGTGACGTCATTTCGTGTATCCCTGGGAAATGCGTCGGGTATGCCGGGGTTCAATCGACGAGCGCCCAAGTTGTCAGACACCTTTTATAGGTGTGACACAAGTAGAATTGTTATTTGTGCCAGGTGTACCCACACTTCCATGAACATGTAAATGCTGATGACCTTGTTCCTGTTCTTAAACAATGTTTATTTAATAAACTCTTGATAATTGCAAAGTTAGTATGTTTATTTAAGAACTCATGATAATTGCAAAGTTAGTATGGCTTCCACTACTGAGCAGCCACAGATTGTATTCGTATGGTTCATAAGCACACTAATCTCAGGTAGTCATTGGCTAAATACATCAACAATACGCTGGTATAGCTGATCACAAACTCATCCTCGCAATATGAACAAAGTCACGAGAGGCTAGCTGATGACTCTATAGCAATAATTCCGTATCCTCCTAACTACTACACTTAACTTTATAATCCAGCTTTATACCACAGAAACACTTATCACCAGTATGAATAACCACTACTGTTCTGTTCACAGTTTTAAATCCAGTCCATTCCAAGCGAAAAACAATTCCCACCTTTTAAAAGGGCCCCAAACAAAACACATCCGTTCACTGGACTGTCCAACTACTAACTGCCGTGTGTCGCTCTACCTGTTTGTCCAGTCCCCGTGTAACCTCCCCACTCAGTTACCTGTTTCGCCCTGCGGGTCTACACACAAGCCGTCTGACCAGTAATTGACCTGTCTGCTGTTATGAGTCAGTCTAGTCGTTGTTTGTCTTTATCTCATAGTGTGTGGTAAAGTTGACTCATGACAGGCATCTTTCTATATTGGTTTACGAAATCAGAGGTATTATACTGTGATAGGGGTGATCAACCCGGTCCGCAGTCGACATCTGTCTCCAGATGTCAGTTTATCCCCCCTGGCGATACCGGGTGGTCAGTCTTTCCATAGGTGTCAAAACATCTTTCCCGATAGTCACCAGCCTATCCTGGTTGTCTTGTGGGCTAGCCACTTACAATAAGAAGAAACTCCACAGGGTAGCATGTACAGCAGGGGTCTACCAATCATCAGTAGAAGTTAACCTCTCGTCGACAAATGTTTCGGCCCACGAGCTCCTAGACATTCTCAAAGAGTGGGCCCACCTGAGTTCATGAAGCTCAGGGTTGGTTTCCCCTGCTGCATGAATTACCGGATGTTGTTCGGATAGGGACAAGAAGAATTGGTGATTTTGCAGAAGGTACTGTGAGATAAGAAGTCGTCGCGGTAGCATAATTAAAGCAGTCTGCAAACCTGGACGACCGAGCGGCAAGCTTACGATTGGTATACCGGACACATGTTGGACTTCGTTAGCAGGTGGCAGAGGGACACTGGCAGACAATTCGGACACGATGGACTTCAAGGGATGAGAAAATCTTTTCCGCTAGACACCCGGACCAGCTCACCGAGGCCCGTCCCCTACGTTGTTTTGTTGTGTCCAGAGCCAGCTCGAGGCCCTCTCAGCAACCTTGCCCAGCTGTTTAAGTGTCCGTTTGCGTTCATTACCACGTAAGCCTAGTTCTTTAATCACATTGCAGAGTGAAGTGGAAACGAGATCTCTCGCTCCACTTCGACGGCAAAGACTCGTATTGTGTACGCTTCGTCTCTTATCTATATTTAATAAGCATTGACTTCTTACAAACAGTGAAGAGTTTTGGATAGGCGCACTTTGACACCAGGCATTTAAAGAGCTGGCCAGTTTCACCATTACTTGCATAATAATGCCAGTAAGCAATGCGATAGTTGAGAGAATATTCTCTCTTTTTACTTGAGTTAAATCAAAAGCAAGAAAAAAAAATGCAACTAGATTTTCTTGATGCAGTTGTGAGAATTAGAGAACAACTATTGAAATCAAACAAATGCTGCAAAGACTTCACCCCATCTGAGAAAATACTTACAGATTTCACATCTGAAAAGGTTTACACTGTGTCTTTCGCTTATTTCATTGAGGATGACAGTGAAGAAATATATCCAGAGCTTTTGATGTGAAATGGGTACGACGTTACACTTTATTTGGAATTTTCTGTCGTATTTTTGGTAGTAGT